TTTCAGTTTATCTTTATATTTATATACACATGTATATGCAGTTAGATATGGTTGTACATATTAGGTATATCATATAGATACTTATAAAAATATGCACATAACTATACTCATATTTCTGCATAAAATATGCATACCATACACATGCATACCAATGCCACAAAGGTTGCTTGTTTATATTTAATTTCTTGTTATGCCAATTTATTGTACATCTAATTGGAATTCAAAGTATAATTCTGTGTGTGTGTGTGTGTGTGTGTGTGTGTGTGTGTGTGTGTGTGTGTGCATGCAAAGGTGTAGACACATACATGTTTTTAAATGTATGAATGTGGGCACATATTTGTGTGTGTTGTATGGAAACAAGCATGGAGTATTGTGGCATAACACTGATGGTGCCTTCATCCTTTACAATGGGGTAGTAGCACTATTTCAGTGGGGTGGGGCATGCTTGATCATGCTTCATTCTGTGCATGGAACTTGCATGCTTCTAGAGCACTGATATTGTCTACCATGTTACTAACAACGTGTCGATGTTTCAGGATCTTTCTTAGATCGATATCTACAATCTATGTCACATGTTAAGTCCCTCAGATAACATTTGACACCAAGCACAGATTAGTTTTCAGTCTCTCCGTCCTCTTCCACTGCACATTTTATGGGAAATCACCCCCATCAAGTAAGTCTAACTATGCTTACTGGCTATCCAGAACTTGGAGAAGAGCAGGAAATTGTGGGTTCCCAGGATCCAATGATGCTGACAGGAAGACTTGCAGGTGGGCTGTTCCTACTGAAACTGTTGCCACAGGCATCCAGGCTGAGACAGCAAAGGGGCATCTCTGCTGGGCAACTGTATAACTTCTCTTCTTCCAGATTCTGCTGATGCAGACATGAAAAGTATTTCAAGCTCTGTGATTAGATAGCTGGTTTAATTGAGGCCACCCTCCCTAAATCTTGTTTGGCTTTGAGGGTAGCAAAATGCTAACACTTCAATTAGAAATCACAGGAAGAATCTCCCCACAGTTTTTCTTTTATAACTGAGATTTGATTGGTTGAGGACCAGCAGAAAAAGATGTTATCTCAGTTTTGTTCTTTTTCTTTTTGCATGCCACAGTTCTTAAGTATAGGTTTCCATCTGCAATAAGATAGAGGAATGGAACACTGTGATACCTTGACTAACTCCACAGATCTCTAAGATGACTCCTTCCCACTATCCTTCAAATGTCATGTTAGGGCAGGAAAAAAGCATCCATGGAAAAGAAGAATAAAAAGGAAACCCAACAATAAGGACCCTGAATTAGAAGGAGTTGCTGGAAATCTGTGACCAGCCTTGAGGGATAAACTTTCAGGGAAGGAGAGAGGCATGAAGGCAAAGGACAGTGGGAGACTGGGAAGTGGTATTCTCAGAGGGGGATATGTCCATTATTTTCTACTCATTTTCTCCACTTGTGTTTGTTAGAAAAGGTGACAACAGTTGAGGCAGAGTCAGCACCAGGACTCCACTTTCCAAATGGGACAGGATGGACTGCTGTTACACTGCTATCCAGTGAGTGACAGCTCAGAAGTCATCAACTACCATGATGAGAAGAGGTAGGGGAAGCCTCATGGCTTTCTGCTTTCTGGTAAATCCCACTTCAAGGTGTGTTTAATGATGGTGAAGGGACAGGCTGGAGGGCAAAATTTCAAACAGATCTGTTCCCCAAGACCTGGGTACTGCAGATGGCACAATACAAGCTCATGATAAGAGACTCTAGATGATAAAGTCAGTCTCAGAAATGATAGACCAGTATTTGAACTGTGTACATATGGCCTGAGTCTGCCCCATCCCCACTGACCTTCATCTTCTCAGCAGTGAACTTCTGTAGCAGGACAGGATGATTGGATGGGAAGTTGTACCGAGGCAAGGATGATAACTGTAGCCTTCAGGCACCTTCCCTAATTACCCAAGCTGGGAGGTAGGTTCCCAGAGTGAGCAGACTGGGCAGGAGAGGCTCTGAGTGGGCAGAAGACTCCCTCACTGAAGCTTGGAACAGACTCAGGGCCAAGACAGGCAGGGATGGTATTAGCATGCAGGACAGGCTCCTGTGGCTCTCACAGAAGGTGAAAATACACACTCTCTACAGGCAGGCAGAGGTGAGGGAGCTAGGGGTGGCTGGGAGTTTACTGCCTGCACACTCTGAATCTAAATCCCCCTCCCTTCCTTCTCAAGCCAAGTTCTTCATTGGCTTCCCATTTTAACCCCCTCTCTGTCCTGGTAATGCATAGAAAAAAATGTTAAGGATACATTATGTTTTAAAAAAAAATTATGATTTTGTTTACACACACACACACACACACACACACACACACACACACACGCACACACACACACAAAAAACAAAACAAAAAAAACCATGGATTTTGGTCATTTCTGTTCAATGGTTACAAATACTTGCCATCATTTAAGAGAACTGGTTATGAATTATTATTGGTTAAGATAAGAAATGAAATGAAATGACCTAGCAGTTGCCATAACAGGCTGCTCAGTCTTCTCTCAGAGATCGGGCCTCAATTTCAGTTTCCTAAGACTGAGCAAGCAGTCTCTGGGAGGGCCATGAACAAAAGACATAGTCCTTGCAGTAGCTCCCTTTCTGCACAAACTCTGACTGCTCAAAGTTCAGCCAGATGTTTACTGTCTGGGATCCCTCACCAACTTAGAGTTATATGCATGATTCAAGGACTGAGCCTAGACCACTGAGACAGGCCCCACAGTCAGTATGTGCTAGGCCAGCCAGCCCTCATGGCGGCTCAATAAAAAAGCCTGGGACTTGTGCTGGACTGCCCCCAAAGTGATAATTTTAACCACTAACCAGTAAATTCAAAGGTTACATACCCTCACCCAATTAAAATAGAACAGGGATAAAAATAAACCAATCCAATTTGCTGAGTATAGAATAATGTATGCAATCATTTGGCTGTGAGTTAGTCAACCTTCTCTTACTCATAGAATTCCCTGACACAATCATCTTACTTGGAGGAAAGGTTACTATAGACTTCTGATTGGAGAGATATTCTAGTTTTTTGAGATCATTCCTTTGGGCCTAAATTGAGGCAACCTGTGGTACAGAGAGCTTCTTTAGGAGGAAGCTGCCCTCCTTGGAGGCACTGGGAAGCACTGAGTGAGAGCAAGCGGCTGGTCCACTGCCATCCAGTGGTCCTGTGCTGGGGAACTAAGCCTTCAATGCACAGACTGGTGAACTTGCTAGGAGAGCTTAGATTACAGATCAAGGAACCCTGGTGTTCACCTGCCTGTGTACAGGATTTCAAGGGAAGCACTATATTGACTTACCTGCCCACTGAGTTCCTGTACCAGGTCACCAGGCATGCCAGTGCCATACACACACACAGGCAGGCTGAACACCTGAACATATAAACTAAAAATAAGCTGAAAAATTATCAAAACCAAGTAAAAGTACACAATCTTCTCCACATCCCTGTGCTCAGAGCATCCTGTGTTTCCTGCCGCTGGGCTGGAATAAGGGAAGAAAGGGTGTAGTTTAATGAAAGGTAACTTTCTTCTCCATAGTATCCCAGGTGATCTCTTCTTACATTAATGTTTTCTGAGAAACTAAGCATGGATGGAATGTAGTGTGCTTGTATGTGTGCATGGATATAAATGAGTGTGCTGGAGAGAGAGACAGAGACAAAGAGAGTGCACCCACGCATACACGTTTATGTACATGGTGATGAAACCTCCCCTAAAAACACAATCTTCTAATGAACAGGAACATCAAAGACTTGAGGAAAATCTTCAGTCCCTGCTGAAGCAGAAGGAGCTGTGCACGCGGCAAAGGGACTTGGCAGTAAAGCTGCAGCATCACTTCACTGTGTCCCAGATGAGGTAGGAGCCCAGGCTTCCAGAAGCAGATGGATCCAAGTGGGTCCGCTGTACCTGATCTCCATCCTATTTGAGTTTTATCAATTGGCAAAGCTCCAAGCCACAGCCAGGGTAAGAACACCTCAGAGTGTCATTGCTGGCTCAGTCAACAGGAATTATGACCAGGAAACAATATGCTTCTCCTTGGTCTTATGGGGACTGTGCCCCTTCTTCCATTATGAGACCTATAGTATGCTCTGAGTATCTCATCTCTTAGATTAGATCTCCCCACAAATATTGCCATGGCAGCCAGAAACCTGGAAAGGAGGATCTCTGATCATGAAGGAAAGTGTGTCCTCCTGCATCTTTTCCATCGGGAATATCACATTTAGAGATAAGTGTCTACTCTTTGCAGATTTGCATACAGCACACTCCTGCTGACTGCAGGCTCTCTGCAGTGTTTATCAGTTTCTCATGAGCAGATTTACTCTGGTCATAAACAGAGTAGGAGCTGACAAGGTAATCCCATGTAGGGTTCTGAGCTGTAGGAATAACCAGAGCCTTCTCTGTATTGCTGTGTAGGCTCCACTAGAGGGCAGGCAGAGAGTTTTCCAGGAGGTTCACATTCACCTGGATCCAATTGAGGCCAGTTGTATTTTTCCTGACCTGTGTCTCAGACCTTGACATACTAATATTTCTCCAAAATGATGTCTTTGGAATGTTGGAGAAATATGCTGTTTTTTCTAATCTAGCAAAGTGTGTATATTCCAGTTCAACTTCTATCAGTTTTTAAAAGCTGAGAAAAAAATCCTGCCCAGGTGCTTTCTGACCCTTTTCCCTTGGGGAAGCAGGGAATGAACTCAGCTGAAAGGTAATGCTTGATTGTCTAGCTGAGTAGAGCTGGTGGGGTCTCAAAAGCAGACATGGCAGGTCACCACCAGACTTGTGCCCCAGCTGCCTTCCTTCCCTAGGTTTGAAAATCTCCAGCAGGAACTGGAGCAGACCACAGCCCAGGAAGACAGCCTCCTGCAGATGGAGCTGCAGGGGCAGAAACACTATGTTCCAGGCAAGTAAGCCACCATTGTTTCCCATCCCAGCAGCCAGGGTGTTCATGGGTGAGTTTTCTTCCTTAACTTTTTTTTACTAGGGATGAATAAGCCCTGATTGTTCTTGCCAGTGGCACAGCAAAACTGTTTCTAAATCCTATTTTCTTTACTGATTTTCCATGACAGCACCTCTTCAGAAAACTGAGAAGGCTGGAAGAAGCCAGAGACACCCTGAAGGCTTGACATTCTACACTCCAGGTTCACGGCCTCCTCAGAAATTGCCACCTCTTTTCAGCTGTGAACTCACTAGTGAGGCAAATATCAACCAACCATCAGGTGATCCAGTCACAGTCTGAGGCACATCCATTGGCTCACTATTCCCAGAGAAAAGATTGTATCAGAAATAGTCTGACATTCAGAAGACACAACACAAATTACTAAGAACCCTGACATCCATCAGCACGTGGCCCCAGTGAGGGGCGAAACAACATGGAAGAGGACATGTGGGTGAGCAAGAGTTCTTCTGTCAGCTTCCTATCAAGGGCTTTGACAAGCTGACTCCATATGTGAAGGAAATTTGACAAGGAAGACTGTTAACATCACACTGCCATCCAGACAGACCACACCCAAAGGATAAGATACTCACTGGTGCATTGCTGAAGCTGACACCATGTCATATGCTACTGTTGCTGAAGATAATTCACTGCAGAGAATAAGACAGTTCCTCACCTCATTTGCTCTTCCATAATGAAATTC